TGCAATCAGTCGACCTTATCGCCTGAAGAAGACTAGCAGTAAGTAGTCGAAACGTCGCGATCTACATCTAAAGTGACTACATCGTGTGACAAACGATAGGCTTATGCTTGTGCCTATGTCGTATTGAAAACAGGCTTAACAGCTGCTATCTGCAGTTATCAAATCAGAACATGGCTCGAATCGGGAAAGTTCCGCACGTGACCAGCGTGGTGCCCTAAAGGCAAGTTATTGCAACAATCTAAGACGAAAACCGCAAGATCTTTAACTGTCTGTATTTTGTGGGTTTATGCTAATAAAATCAGAAAGGAAAAAATAGCCACTCACGCCAAAACACTTAGAGACTTAAGTGTTTTTTTTTTTCTTTCCTTAACCATCTACGTATTTATGAAAAAAATCTCTGTAATACCCATTACATTCTCTAGTGTTTTATTGTACTGGAAGACGTCATCAACCAAACGATACAGCGGACTTCGGTCTAGCGAAATAATCGAACCAAAATTTGCATGCTCATGACACTTAGCCACGACGTTAAATGTCTTAAATCATCTGTGAATTTTGTATTCCTGCGTGGGAAGTAAACAATTTAACCAAGAATTGACAGTTGTTCGAGACAGTTTCTATACATAACTAAAACTTTAGTTATACTTTTTAAGGGATTTAGCTGCGAATTTAGTGCTAATTTTGTCGAAGAACGTAGAACTCTTGAACATTAGGTTGTGTGGTCATGTTGCACTGATGCGATATATTTATCGCCATAACTAACAATGCTTGTTATTACTTTACTGTTTTGTATTATACTAGTGTATATTACACTTATCTTAACTAACAAAGCTTGGTGTAACCTTGCTGTTTTGTATTATATTGGTGTAAATTCAACATTGTTCGAAAACTGACCTTTCAATTTGCTGCTATCGCAAGCGACTTTTATGAAACGTAAAAGTGCGTTAGCTACATATCAGTACATCTTATCCGCAATGATTTGCTGTCCGGCTTTTGGAAGAGATAAAGATTGTACTTCACAGAGAAGAATGTTGATCTGTTTTCCCTTTTATCAGACACCGTTTACACGGAGGAAACAAAGCTACTTTCCGCTATTCCAGTCTCTCGCTTCATCATAGGGACATCTACATGGTTTCTGCTTGATCTGACTGTCAATCGAAACCGAGACGGTCTCAGACACGAATATTTGAGGACAATTTTATTCCATAGCAGTTCTTTTAACGCCAAACGAAAGTCTGGCTTGAAAAATGTGTAAAGCAGCGGGTTGATGATAGAGGTGAGGTATCTAAATGGTACGAACCATTCCATAAAGCTCTCAAGGTTTTCCACCTGTACTTGTAGATTGACAAGAAGTGAGAGCATGAACCATGGAAGCCAACATACTGCGAAGACAGTGGCCATAACAGCAAAGATGATGCAAACACGACGTCTATTGTTTGTCAGCTGACCACTACGACTGTTCCGTCTTATCAGTGTTCTCTGTTTAGTCTTCCCGGATATTGTTCTGAACATCACTACCAAGGCGTACACTATAAACATGTACGACACGAAAAATACTAAGACAAGGCATACAATCCCGTAACCTACAAAGAACTTTCTTACAATGGGTTTGTGGCTAAAATTTATCCAAGAAAATGGGATGAAGGCAATCACTAATGACAGCAGCCAGACAGCCGCCAACACTGTTAACATAGTTTTCTTTGTCAGCGAGCGATGTCTCAAAGGCCAGACGACTGCAAAGTACTTTTCGGCTATAACGATCAGGATGTGATATACTGTCGATGTCGAAGTCAAAGCATGTAACACTAACACCAAGTAATTCAGAGAGATTTTTGTTTGTTTGGGAATGATCTCCCGCGTTAACATGTGCATGCTTATGATAAGCATTGGAATGTTCACAAATCCAGTTATGAAGTCGCACACGGCCAAACTCAGAAGTGGGTAATTTGGTAAAGTTCGTAGTTGCCGTCTTTTGAAGAAAAGTAAAACCACCAATAAGTTTGTTATTACGATGGCAAATGATAACGGCACCAACTTGGCGATCTCAGTGTACAGGGGCTCTTGTTTGTGAGAGGTGTTGTTCACCATCTTGAGAAATAGGAATTCTTCACCGTGCAATCGCAAACTTGAATATCGATGTTTCAGCTGTAGGCTGTCTCTTTAAGTTTGTTTGCGTGAACAAGGTCGCGGGGACACTTCGCGGTCCAATATCGGTCTTCCGTTTTGTTTAGCTGATGCCAAATGGTTAAATTTGTCGCGACCGCTTTTGTCAAAAGCAGCTTGGGCTTATTGACATGCAAAATTAATGCCGTTGTGTACCGGATATTTCAGCACGTGCAATTATTGTTCGATCACACTAGTGAACAAACAAAAGCAGCTGTTTTTTTACTTACTGTGCTCTTGTCTAAACATTTTGTTGATACAACAGACGATGATCATCTCTTGGTTGATAATAACGTAGCGCAGTGAAAACAATGAATGGAAGGCCATTGTACTGGCGTCCAATCTGTCAGCTCAGCTGAATGACGTTAAAAACTTAATGACATACATTTTAAAATTTGTTTCGTAATTGTTTCTTTTTTTTTCAGTTGTACAACCCATACATAGCTACACACAGCAATAATTCAGATAAGCAAATTATGTTACCGAAATTCGACTCTAACTTAAATATTGGCTTTATTCTTTCGAAGAAGCATTGTATATTTTATGATAATTGCCACTGCACTTTAACATCTGTACACAATAGAAACAATTATGACTACCAGTGGTGGCTAACTTGATGCTTTGCTGATTATCAGCTCGTCTGATTTCAAATTGTCTTATGATTTGGCCAATTACTTGTACATATCGCTTCATCATCGTCATGTGACCAATACCCAGTCGTCTTTTGTGGGAAAATATTATTCAGCAAGGTCATCGTGAATCGATAGCCCAGACGAAATGTAGAAAGCATGAGCCCTAAAAGAAGGCTTGAGAAGGCTTTCCTACTTTTCTCAATTTTCAAATGACTTGATATTTTAGCTGACAGGAGAAGCGTTCCGAGACGACCCAAATAACGGTTGCGAAATGCTACGTATGGGAAATGCGTGAATCCCGTACGCATGATATTATGCTTATTAAGCGTGAGGGATATTTGACAACACGCAAAAAATATAGAGCTGTAATTAAGCGAGTGTTTTCACATTTCCTAACTGCTGTTATGCTCAGTGTGTTGCAATAGGTAACTGCAAAAAATTCTGAATCCGTCCTTCCGAAACTTTATCTACTGCCCTTCCGTATAAACCCCTGTATTTACACTTGTGATGTTCCACATTTATACCTGGAAAGTTGGACGGCCAACGAACAACTGGAAGCGGTCCATGCCGCAGAAGTTGGAAAGAGTGGGCTACGCTACTCCTGGGAGAGAGCCAAAACATTTAAACAATGAAGCGTGTACGTTGGAGGGTATTAGTGGACGTCCTATGCTCCCCCGGACAGACATTTTAAAAGTGATCATTTTTCAGTAATTGTTATTGATAATAATAAATAAGAAATAAGAAATAAGAAATAATAATAATAATAATAATATTAATAATAATAAAGAAATACATTGCAACCCGGTTAATACGGACACCAAGGGGAAATGCCATTACGCCAACATACCGGGTGTCCGTATAAGCGGGCTCTCAGAAACACGTAACGGACACATGTCAGTATCGATATAAAGACGCCTCAAAAAGGAGGAGGAATAATAGGAGGCGGAAAACTACAGTTAAGGGTTAAACACCGGAAAAAAGACGGACTGATCAAAATCAAACATGTCTCGCTATTTTGCTACAGTTTTGTAGTGATGAAATTGTATTCACCCGTAGAAATCTGTCATTATTTGAACAGCGTGCAATGTTTACAGTTGTGACGATGAAAATAGAGAGTTTGGAGTGACCAGTGTCCGTTGTCCGTATTAATCTGTGTCCGTATTAAGCCGGTATTCCACTGTACAATAAGCTGTTACAACATCAGTACCTAAGCGTGATGTTTTGCTTACGATAGTCAAACGAATAAACACTACCTTTATTACACCTAATCGAGAACTAATGCTTGTCAACGACACCAAATTAAAATTTCATAACTCACTGTTATTGCATTTTCTGATACAAAATACCCTGTTAAACACAATTATTATTCCGTGACAAACTCTTTTTCGTGATTATTACTAAGTCACAATTGCTATTACATTATAATTGTAGTTCTTGTTTAGGCCCTGGCCACACTACGCTGGAGGAATTTGAAAACGCAGCTTTATTTCTACGGTTAGGCCTAACGTCCACACGAATCCGTCACGAAAACGGAGCTTTTGGAAAACGCTCTTCAAACAGGAGGAATTTGAAAACGCAAGCTTTTCGTTTTCATGTGGACGGAAAACATTTTGAAAACGGAGCTTTTTAAAACGATGATTCAAATGATTTCCCCGCCGGTGTTTTTACAAACACAAATTCCAAATGACCAGTGTTGCGCTTCAGTTCAAATTCCTGCGGCGAAGCGTGGACGGGGCATTAGTAGGTGGTTGTAATTTAAACTACATTGTACACGCAATTCAAACTATTTAGGTATTGATTGTTTAAATTTATTAAACGCTGATATATGACTAACGATTGGAAATTTACATTTTATTTATATTATTTATTTATATAAATTTTCTTTATTTATCTGTTCTTTATTTATTGCTCATATTTAACAATTATTGTACGAGGTAGAGCAAAATAACGATTTGTCAGTAGTGAAGAGATCACTTATTTGCCGAAGCCGAATGCAGAGACAGATAATTGATCTGCGAGACATGTATCATGATATTTTGAGTTATAATACATCAAATATTTTCACTCGCGCGCGATTGGTCTAAACTCGTCACGTGACTAAGGTTTTCCGAGAGCGTAGCTCGAGGAAAACTGTGAGCTTTGAGGAACAGATAAAGTCCAAGGACAAATACCTATGCATATTTTTGCACCAAATGGGGCCTATTGTGTTTAGAAACCTTCAAATGTTTTTCGCAACAGGCGCAATTTTGAAAATTGGGAATATTACTCGGATATTCTCCAGTTTTTGGAGGATTGTCCAATACACACAATCTGATACGGTCCGAAAAAACAACTTTTCGATCTGCACAGTTTGACAGACAGTAAAAAAGACTTTCGCATCTTATTAAGGGGACTTAGATTATAAATCACGTCTTGCCGGAGTAGAGGGTGTGACCCAGCTTGTCGATCCGTACGGTTTTTGAAAAGGTCGTTTTCCATCCGTATACGGTCGAAAAACTACATCTCATTAGGGGGGACTTGGAATATAACTCACGTCTTGCCAGAGTCGAGTGGGTGACAAGGCTAGCATATTTTCGCGCCAAATGGAGGCTATTGTTTATGTAGCCGAGCGGTTTTAGAATTACGAACAAGCTTCTAGTTCAGTTAAGCAATTAGATAAAGTTAATTGCTTGATTGATTTACCTTTTTGCTTATTTTGCCTTCTCTGGGAAGACATTAAGTAGGTACCCGGAGGATACTCGACTATCATGCTCCGTCCAAATACCACACCGCGAAAGAATTATCTCGTCCTACGGGGTAGAAGACACTGACTGAAGCACTGAAGTCAAGAGGCAATGGATAAGAGTTCAGTCAGGTACTAAAGGGGTAAAGCGCATGTGGAAACCACAACGGAAGCCCACTCCATTATTTATGAAACAATAGAAGATGATGGTCACTGAGAGAAATTTTGATTTGAAAATTTCGCAATCGGCTGTGAAAACACGGTAATAGAGGTAATATTTGTCCTTAGAGTTAGGTTAGACTGTTCCGACTCGCACCGTGAGGCATTGTTTATAAACCTAGCAGGCGTGGGTAGATAACTCGTGCCTTGCACGAGTGGACAAGCAACTCTGGCTGAGTGTTAAATTCCATATTGAACACTGAGCATGAAAGCAAGCTCTCTAAAGTAAGCTCTGAGTAAATCTGTGGGAGCCTTCCTTGAAAAGTAATGATGAGTCATTCTGTTAGCACGAATTAGTCCGATGAAATGCTGAACAGCATGTGGGTCATTAAGAAAGCGCCATAGCCTGCTCATGCGCTGAACCGTAAAAATATCACTTTAAGATTTAGAGGCAACCAATTCGTGCGGGAGTCAATGATCATGCAGCTTAAATAATGCTGGAAAGCATTTGATATGCGCAGTAAGAAACAAACTGAAAAAGGAATAGGCAAATAACCCGTACTGTGCAACAACACCAGACAGACACGGAAAATGGCTAATAAATGTCATAAATCTAAATATTTGATTCCGTCTTTTAAAATCAAATTGCTCAACAATTATTATGCCAATTATAGATGGCTTGCCGGTCAATACGTTGTACGTTGCACACCGCACTGTTTAACATTCTTATAACTCTTCAATTTACCAAAATAAGATTGGAGGTTTCCCTTGCCTAAAATTATGGGAGGGAGTTATTTAGTATATTTGAATCTTAGAATAAGGAAGTAGTACTGATATTTACTGGTTTCTTACATCAACATTCTTTACATTCTTATATTTCCTTTTTGGATATTCTTTCGGTCGTCGAAGTCCGCCATTTTCTGTATTCGCACATGGCCATTTCGCGCGATAGGCCTTAGAGCTGAGAGATAACTGGTTCCTCTGAAACTGAGTATGGTGCATCGAGTCCAATACTGTCGGCATTGAGTCTATTCCAAGAAACCAATAATATCAAGTTGCTTTCTAAAGAAACTGGCTGCGTCATGTCATGAGTATGTCTTACAGTAGGCCTCAGAGAAAAGCCACGTAATGTTTTGGAGGCTCTTGGAAAGTGGCCAAGAAGGGTTTTTAAGGCATGCCAGAAGTCGCGCTTAAAGAACGTATAGAGCAAAGGGTTGGTGATGGATGTCATGTATCGAACATTGGCAAATACTTCGAAAAGTTTTAATAAAGTTTCCTCAAAATCTGACGATAGATACTCTTTGACGTAAATCACAAGCATGATGGTGAAGTATGGCAACCAACAAATCGCAAACAATATCGCCATGATTGCAAAAATTACTATGCATTTTCGGTCATTATTTTTTTTCACTTGGAACCTTGATCTGGTAATATCATTCTGAAGCCTGGGTCTTTGACGTTTAGAAATCACTCTGAACATAGCTGTGAACGCATAAACAATAAATACATAAGGGACAAAGAAAACTATGAAAAGGCAAACTGAAGCATGGGCAATGTACCAAACAAGGCGTGAGTTGCTATCGTCCCAAGAAATAGGAATGATAGCAATAAGTGCAGATATCATCCAAATCCCCAGTAATATTATTAGCACTGTTTTCTTGGTTACCAAGTGGTGTCTAAGTGGTGTCATAATTGCCATGTACTTTTCCGCAGTTATGATGAGAATATGATAGCCAGCCGATACTGCCATGAGGGTGTGTAAGATGTACATCCCAAATCCAAAGTATTTTGCCAAGGTTGGTGGTACAACTTCAAAAGAAAAAGTGATGAAGATTGGGATGTTGATAGCTCCTGTAAAGAAGTCGCAAGTAGCCAAACCAAGCAACAAGTAATTTGACGTCGTACGAAGGCGTTTCCTTTTGTAAAACATGACGAACACGAGTCCGTTTGTCAGAACTATGGTTAGGGCAATAGGAAGTAATTTGCTTAAGGATTTCATGCCATAGTCATTAGGCTGTTGGAGGTTAACTGAACTGTTGTTAAACATGTTTTGTTATTTTGCTGGAACGTCCAGGAGGAAAATCTACAAAAAAGAGACAGCAGACTGAGATATGCACTTCCAAGCAAACTATACAGAACCTGACTATACAAGAGTAGAGCTTCGCTCTAGCACATAATCACTTGTTTCGTCAATTCTACATCAGGTGTTGACATTTTTGTTTTAGATATTATTTTACCCAACATTTGCTTTTGCTTGCCCACAGGCAAGACAGCTTATATAGTTAACGAAAAAAAATATGATGACTTCTTTGCAGATTACTTCATGTAAATAGTTGGCAGGTTATTACTATTTTGTAGATTCTCTGGATTCACTTTGCACTTAGCCTGTATTGTATTAGGAAAATGGTTCGAGAAGTGCGGTCTTTGCTAACTGGAAGTTCCCGAAGACTTAATTGCCACACGGGTGACTGGGACAGTTTAAAAAACATTCTGTGTGTGGTGGCACTATGACCTAATGATTAACTCGCTGGACTACGGAACGATCAGCCTTGGGTCGTGGCATTGTGTTCTTTGGCGAGACACTTTACTCCCACAGGGCCTCTCTCCACCCAAAAGGGTACCGGCGAATTTGATGTTGGGAGGTTAACCCGTGATAGACTTGTATCCCATCTAGGAGGGAGGAGAAGTACTCCTAGTCGCTTCATGCGACAGAAACCAGGTTAAGCGGCTTCGTATGCATGGGCCAATGGCCTGACGCTGACTTTACCTTTAGTTACTAATTCTTTGCGCTCAAAAACCTATTCAAAGCGCCAAAGCTCCACAGCTACTTTTTTCAACTTTTTGAAATTATCCAGCGGCTGTTTGTCACTCTTTGAAAGTACTGCAAATATTTTTCATCAATACAAGTGTTGCTGCTGAATAAGACGACCTGTTGTTGTGAGGTTTAAGCTATTTTACGAGGTCTTACAAAAATGTCGATCATGAATTCGTTAGAATTTGTGGCAGTTACTCTAAGGACTGCATATCGTACATGGGGGATGTAAGCGATATAATCCCTGTCGACCCCAGGAGGGAAGGGGAGACGGGTTAAGTGATTATGTGAAATTCTCACAATCTCCGAATCTCGGGTACATTTCTAGCTTTCTGCCTGGTTCATGGAATGCCGGTTATCAGCAGTTATACTTGTGTTTTGGTCTTACATGAAAATGAGTGCGACAAGTATCTCTTATCGTAAAACTTGTCAGCGTGAAGCGTCAATAAAAGCGACTAAATGAAGACGAAAAGCAGCAAAAATACGTGGGGGAATCCAAAAGTCGACAAATTTTCGTTCAGAAAATAAAGCAGGTTTTCGGCATAAGACTTACAACTGTAGCACTTCAATAGAGTTATTACCTAACATCTGGGTCTTCTCTTTTGGATATTAGATGATTTAACATTATATTATTATAAAAAATGTTTAAATTCCTTTATTACAATGGATATCGCCTAATAAACAATGCGGACTCCTGGAATGATTGATGAATATTCGATGTATTTCATAAATTTTGCCTTCACTACACAACCAAACGTACCCAAAGCTTATGAGGAGTTGGTCAGCAAAGCCCAAGATATGTTGTAATTGACACCATGAACCCCAAATGTAAATCCCAAAAACATTTAAGAGGCTGTCTCTGTAAAAACCGACCACTGATTTTACTTCGAAAATTCGATTTTTCTCATAAGCTGGGATTTCGAAGCCCTTACGCTATTCAATCACTAAAATGAGTTTTATTTGATTAAAAATTCTAATTGAACTTTTCTAGGATTAATTGAAGTTCGGTCCGCTCGACACAAGTTGCGTACCTGCCGAAACTGGAAAAATAGCACATATTGCCGGCGCTCTAAAAAAATTAATATTCGCTCAAAACTCCCAGTTCTTTTTTTTAACTATAGATATATCATAGCAGTTTGTTTAGCCATGTTGCAATTATAATTCAATGTTGTTCCTTCAACGGTTAAAAGATTTTCTACCCGTTAAATCGA